TTCGTTTCTTTCTTACTATATATATATATATATATATATATATATATTTTCAATTTCAGTACACAGACCTGATTTCAGCATTAGAATTAATTTTCTTTTTTTTTTTGTGTGTTGATTATTGATGTGATTTATTTTCAATGAAATGGCTGTATAAGTCAGATAAATAGTGTTTAGGTCAAATATTTTGACATATTGGTAAAATCTACGAAGTTTGTAATGGTAGTCTTTTTTTTTCTGTAGAAAAATATTTTTAAAATTATAATGCTTTAACAGTAAAAAGAGATACAAATTTTCAAAATCATTAACTTTCTTAAGTCCAGCCTTTGTTGTTATTTCAAACACGAGAAAGAATTGTTAAAGCATCATCTAATTTAATTTATTTTCAGTATTTTACTTTTAATTCAGTAAATTGGAATCATATTAGTTAATGTGAAAGACATAGGCTTAGTATTTGCTTAAAATAACCATAGTTCTGGATTGCGTTATTTACCAAATAGATAAATGAAAGTTAACATGCTTCATTTTTTGTGACCAGTAATGTATATTTCTCAAGGTCTCTTCCTTATTAATGGTTTTGTTATTCTTTGAATTAATTTTTTAAGAACACGAAATGTAATAAGTTTCAAGCATAAAGACAAAAAAAAAAGCTCAAAACATTTTAATTTCTGCCTTTAAAATGCACCATTTTTTCTGCTTATTAACCAAAGCCAAAGTGAGTACAGTGAAAAAAAAGAGCGAAAAGACATTTAAGGAAATAACTAGAATAAGTAAAAGGTTTGTATGGTAAAAATTTGTATTTGATCTAGGAAAGAATGTTTAAATTCAAAAGAAATATTAGCCTGAACCATTATTTAAAAGATGGTTCCTCAATAACTATCAAATGTCTTTCTTGCAACTCTTTGTAACAATTATAGTGGTAGATAATAAATGTTGACTAATGTGATGATGTACAAAATGCTTGCAGACATCCCTCCAGTATCAGCAATCTCAAATATGGTGTGTTCTACAGCACCTATCCAAGCATCAAATTATGTCCAGCCACTACCAAGCAACATGCTCAATAAATCTTCTGTTTCTATGGAGACACAGTATATGCAACAACAGAGCCAAATTTTTGTATTTTCTACTATGTTAGCCAACAAAGCAGCAGAAACTGTCATATCTGGCCATTTCCCTTCAATAATAGCTTTTCATTGTAACCAACCAGGCACAAAACGTTTTCTTGAGGTAAGTTTTAAAATAATAATTTTACAAAACTTTCTTATGGCAATTTGCCGTCATCAAGCTAAAAGGAAAAACAAATTTTAATATTTGTATCATAGAATCGAATATTGGTACATCAAATCAGGATACTTCAAATACAAGGCTGCTGTCAAAGATGGAATTCAGTCTCATCCATTTCTTTTGACATTTATTGTATGTAATTCTCTACATTTATATGGATCAAATCTAAGAACAAGGTTCCAGATTGGCTATCCTGATCCTTATGTTCTTGGCACTTCAACATACTGATTTTCAACTTGTTGATTTTTATTCATTTTCTATCCTTTCTGCTGATGTTTTTCTGCATAAGTTTGGGTTTGAAATATCAGTAATATTATATATATCAATTTTTTTTTCTCAAAAATATTTTGTCCTGACTTTTTGAGTATAATAAATTTTAAAATTTAGTTTTTACAATATACCTATACCAAGCATTAAGTTGGGAGAGTAATTTTAAGTACTTCCACCTTTTTACTGCAGTAACATAAAATATGGTTGGCAAATAGAAGAAAGTAGTTTTAACTCTTAAAAGAAAATCTTTATTAATTTATTATGATTGGAAAATGAACACTTAACGTTTCAGAATACAAAAGGTGTGTTTTAAAGTGAGCCATAACATTATTCTGCAGCTAACATTTTTTAAATTGTAAACATGAAACTCTGAAAGTACATTTACCTTATTAAACATCATTAATAGTATCTTAAATATTATTAATGGTATAGTAGAAACCTTAAATTTTATTGTTTTCATTTGGTTTCAAACTGTAAAAATGTGATGAAAGACAAAGCTTAATCCCTTGATTGAAATTTAGTAACTAAAAGCTTAATAAACTTTACTTATAAGTTTCTTAAAATTTGGTCAACTCCCTTTAGATTCAGGCAGGATCGACTCATTATTAGGTGTCATGTAAAATCAAACAAAATTCCCACAAAAGAAATTCAAAATTTTTATGACAGATGTAATAAAAAGCATTACTTTTAAGCTGAGCAGAAAGAAACTGAACTGCTTAAAAACAGCTCAGATTAGTACTGAGAACATAACTGAAATACTTTAACAGTGGTAAACATTAAACAATTGCACACTAATGATGAAAGAACACTTTGTATTGAGAAAAGCATAGACTTATCCATTATTCAATTTTTTACAAAATCAACTAGTAAAAGAGCTGGATACATTCACAGCAGAAACTCATTTGACAGTGGAAAAAATTTATTAAAAGAAAACCAAAAACTGCATCTCAAGAACATTTGTATATGAGCTTTAAGATCCTGTTACTAGATGTCATGGCAATCAGATGTTTTGTGTGAAAAATAAAAGTTTATAAGATAAAAGTGATAGGCAAACTTACAAATGAATGAGGCTAGCTTAAGACCAGTCCAGTGACCCTCAAGAGCCAGAAAAATAATTAGTGACTCAAAAAACATTGGAATGAAAATTATGAAATATATGATGACATCATTCAACAAGAGATATTGCACACATATAACTATATGGCCTTAACTTTGTAAATGAAAATGGAACAAAAACTCTCCCTGAATTTAAAAACAACAAAATTGACTTTTTCCATTCTTTGTAATTTTTACGAATCACATCGTAAGCACCCTAGAAAATACCTAATTAACAAAATCCCTAATAATCAAGGCACCCTCACTGGTATAGGACAAATTCTTTAACCCTATTGTATTTGGCATCATTTTTAAATTCCTTTTTTGCATATGGTACTGCGTTACATTCAAAGTGTAATTAAACCACTTTGCTATCAATAAATGTCAATGAAATTAATGTCATGATATATATATATATATGTTATAATTTGAATTTTTGTAATCCAAGTTTTAATTCCTTTGTAAGGAAATGTTTAAAAAAATACTTAAACTGCAGTTTTCGTGTTACCCAAAGTTCATGCTATGAAAAGCCCATACTTTAGCAATGGTTCACTCTTAGCCACATAAGCTGGCAATGTATAAGAGTATTTGGATACTAATGTACGTGTGTTTCAACTATTGACACGTAAGATATTAAGTCTGCAGCTGCAGTCACTGAGAAACAGATATAAATTTTCCAATCCTTGATGGGTGCCACTCCCAACTTCTGTACTTTGCTTTGAGATCTACAACGTACATGTAGTTAGTTGACACAATAGTTGTTAGAAAGAACTCAGTTAATTTAATATTGGCATGCAATGTTTTCATCACAGTGTACTTGTAACTGTTGTTAGTATTGTTGTCTGCTTGATCAACTCTAGCACTGATGGTCATTTCTTACCTAAATATGCTATAGTTAGAGAAACAGTTAAATTGTATTTAGGTCATACCTTTATATATTAGTTAATTACATATTATGTGTGTTGTAAAAATCATACTTGAATGGTTTAATGATTTTTATAAGTTTAACCTGTTGCCTGGATTATGAAGGCAATGTTTAGGCAATGCATCTCTGTGGGAAGTGTACTGAAATAATTTCATAAAGCCCTGCGGGCATCAGTTGACGTATCGGCATAAATAACAAAAGATGAAGAATTTGAAAGGAAAATTTAAAAATAAACTAAGTGAAAAGATAAAGATGTGAAATTATGCATATATAAAAAAAAATAAGACTATTCTAGTGAATTTCTATGAAGAATTGAAAGGTTGTTAATTTTTAACATTTCCTTGCATTGTATGTTGATGATAATAGATAGTTAGTGACGTTGAAGATAAAATGGAAAATAAAATACATACATTTACCTTAATTAAAAAAAAAACTTTTGATATTCATTTATGAAGTTAGAGATTATGCAAATGAAATGTGAAAACTGTAAGATTAAAAATAATATTTTTATGCTTTACATAAAAAAATCACCTTGCAGGTGAACTATTCAGAGTCTGAGTGCAAATAGCTACATTAAATAACGAATCTTTATTAGAAATAGTAAAAAAAGTGAAATTGAAATATTTTATTTTTTCTGTAAAGATTTTTCTCAAATTTCAAACAATTTCACCTGCTGGTATTATTATTGTAACAAAATGTGACAAGAGTGATGTTATCTTCTCTCTGATAGTGAAGCCGAGTGTCATAGGGTTGACACAACATAAACAATAAAAACAACCACACTGAATAGTCTTGACTTTAATGTGACTGAATAATCCACCAATGTATGAGGTAACATTCATAAATTACTCAAACAACATATAGCAGCTGATCACGTTACCAGGGCTCAGAACTTTCATTATTTACTAACTCAGTTTTACTAATCTCTAACAAAATTCTTGCATGGACAGGCAGTTTACCATCAGAAGTATAATATGACAGTGGGATATATTCTCTTGCTAGTGCTTGACAACCTGTTTGTTGAACACTTTAAAAAAATATGTCATCCTTATAGCTTACTCTAAGTTAAATGTGGCTTGGTTATTGGATGATGATTTCAGCATAATGTTACATAAATCAAATAAAATTTTTCTATGTGGAGATATAGGGGGAATTGACTTGTCACAAGGTACAGGACATCAGTTGAAACTAAATAACTAGATTACATATCATTGTAATTTAACATTTAAGTCTCAGATTATTGTGTTTAAAATGAATAAAACTATTTAATAGAGAAGAAAGTATAAGAATGGGAAAGGACCATGTTATAGGTAGAGCTGGGTCATTGACCATTATAACCGATTACCTATTAGTGTCATGTAAAATAATCAGTTAATAAAATTTTATTTATTAATGTCACAAAAATAATCAACTAATTAAAATTAATATTGCCAGTTATTATTGTGTTTTATTATTCGTACTATCCAAGTAATTGAAATATTTCTCATGATTATTGTGATTTAATGATTGTTGTTCAGCCTAATCGGTTAGTACCATGACTCATGAAAATAATTAACTAATTGAAATTATGTTATGGTTATTACTGTTTTCAGTTGTTCCAACAATCCAAGTCTTGTGAGAATAATCAATTAATGGTCTTGACAATTAATCAATTATCTAATTTTACTAATGGCCCAGCTCTAGTAATAGAAATGCTAAAAAACTATTTGTTTCTCAAAAGAAACTTATGAAATGATGGAAAAGAAAATAACATTGAAAAAAAAACTACATTTATAGCCACTTGTTTGTTGCCTGACTGCAATGTGTTCCCTAACTGTGTACAGAAAACATGCAGAAAATAAAATCTAGACATTGAGAAAATTCATTAAATTCTGTACTAGTTAAAGGTAGTTTAGAAAAAATGCAGTTTTTTTTATTTCATAAAATGTTTAAACATGTATTTCCCTTGTAAAAGAAATAGACCAGTTAAAGTAATTGTTTGGGATTCACAGTTTCACACTAACCATTTAGCTACTGCATTATATATTAGAAAACAAAACATCATACTTGGTGAAAATGAACTTCAGATTAAATAGTTGCACGTGAAGAGACAAAAAAAAATTAAATTTATATTGAGCAGTTTAGGTTTCCGTAGTAGAAATGTCTGAAACCATAGTAAAGGGTGAGTAGCCTAGTCTAATGATTGTCACATCAGAATTCAGATCCTAAAGTCTAGTTTTATATCCTACAACGTCATACATACCTTATAAGGGTCGGGCAGTAGGTTAGATAGAAAATAGTACAAGAAATTATAGAATAATAATGAGAAATAACAGATGTTAGATATCAAGCATGAATATTCATTAAAACTCATTATCACATAGAGCTGGGAAATTAACTCATTTAATTCATATAATTAATTACCTGTGGGCATTGATTATATCGATTAGTGTCGTGTTAAATTATTAATTGAAATTTCTGTTAAATTATGGAAATAATCAACCAATCCAAGTTAGTGATTCCAATTATTACTGTCTTAAATCCTTTAAATTATCCAAGTAATTGAAATGTTGCTATTATGATTTCTTATTATTATTTTTGATTAATTTAAGGATGTTCAGATAATCAGTTAGTGTCACAAGTCACAACAAAAATAATCAGCTACTTAAAATTAGTGTTTTTTCTTTTTCTTAATTTTTGGTTATTTTAACTATTCAAGTCATGTGAGATTAATCAATTAATGAGACTAACAGTTAATTGGGTATCCGATTTATTAATCACCCAGCTCTGTTGTCAGATGATACGTAATGTTATCTCTATTTTCATTGTAAGTAACAATTAAACATAGTTTCTACATTTTAATATACAATCTTGTAATTAATAACTTCTTTGTGAAAAATGCTGTAATGATAGATCATCTTTGTGAATGCTATTTGATGTGCTCTTATTATCACACATTGATTAAATCATTAATAAAACTGTTGCTCTGGTTTAAGGTATCTTAAGCAGTCTGTTTCAATTTTATAAAGGCTTTTTGTATAATTAATTTTTTTAGAAACACCCTCTGAAGGTTCATCAGTTTAATCGTCAAAATACAGCATCATGGCTTAACAGCTTGGCTCAAGGAAAGCAAAATAAACAGCTGAAGGTAGGGAGTGTGAGTCAGCTACCAGGGCCATCCATGATGAACCACCAGCTATCTTCTGGACAACCTATGTGTGCTGGCCCTTGTACAATTCATGGAACTGCTCCTTGCTCTGGTCCTAGTGGAGGCAGTGGTTGGCCAGGAAACCCCATGGGAGCTCCTGGTTTAGGGCCTTGTGGCCCATCTGACATGAATCCTCGGTCAGTAGCACCCCATTGGTGCTCTCATCAGGTACAAGGTGCACCCCATGGAATGAGTATGAATTCACAGCAAAAATTTCAACCTCACATGACAAACCCAGGTCAGAATTCAGGAATGCGACCAATGATACGTGGTACTTTACCTTGTAGCAGTGGAGGGCCTATTAGTTCTAATGTACCTGGGTGTTGCTCTAACCCAGGAGCCTACTTTCATGGTTCTCCTAGTGGACCATGTGGAACTTCCCAAGTTCCATCCTCCCTTACAGGTTAGTTATAAAAAATTCTACTAAATATATTTGTTGTTTAAATGTGATCACAAAAAAAACAGTTTGTTGTTTTTATAATCAAATGTGAGAGCTCTTTCTAATGGTAATGAATAGGCCTTAAGTATCATTTTATTTTCCATGAATTTATAATTTAGTATCATCCCCATACTTTGTGTTCTTTGGTCTACATTAATGTAATAGTCCTGCTCTACTGATCTGTTTTTATTGTATTAATATTCCTTTGAATGTTTTCTGGTGAACAAAACAATAGATCAAATTATTTTCCAACTGCATAAGTTTGAATTTTGAAGTTAGGGAGTTTGTAGACTAGTAAATGTTCACTAAAAGCTTGCCACATTTTGTGAAGATACACTTAATAGATTCAGTTATATTTCCTGGTTACAAGGTTGTTCAAAATGACCAAGCATAAGTATATAGGGTTAATGTTTCTATTTTAATGCCCCACTTTATGAGCTTTATGCTTCCTTGGAGAATCTCATTTTAAAAGTATTTTTCATTAGAAATGGATGTGATATTTCTTTTGGCTACAAGTCTATCTATAGTAAATCAACTGGTGTATTTAAGTATTTTACACTCACAAAAAGAAACCTATCATTCT